ATATATATATATATATATAGATATATATATATATATGTATATATATATATATATATATATATATATTTTTTTTATTTTTTTTGTTTTTTTTTTTAGTTTGTTTCGTCTCACTTTTCTCGGGCTGATGATTTAGTGAAGCAGCTGCTGCTGTCTTTGTCTCCCAGCAGCAGCAGCAGCAGCGACAGCAGCAGCAGCAGCAGCAGCAGCAGTGGTGCAGCAGCAGCAGCAGCAGCAGCAAAGCTGCAGCTGTGTCGTGTCTCTCTGCTGCTGCAGCAGGGCAACAGAACAGCTGCTCGTTCTCTATTAAGAGAGGTGCAGCAGCAGCTGCTGCAGCTGCTGCAGCACAACAACAGCAGCAGCAGCAGCAACAGCAGCAGCAGCAGCAGCAGCAGCATTGATCATCTTGCTCTTTTTGCTGCTGCAGCACAGCTGCAGCAGCAAACGGGAGATGTAGAAGGGTTTCTCTCTTCCTTAGAGCTGCAGCGCAAGGCCCTTGCAGACACACCAGTAAGTCTTTTTGCTGCTGCTGCTGCTGCTGCTGCTGCTGCTGCTGTTGCTGCTGCTACTGCTGCTGCTGCTGCAGCAAGGTAGGAGGAGAGCGTAAGAGAGTCTGCGTCGCCTGCGAGGGCGGGGGAAGGGTGGTGTTCCGTTGCTGCTGCTGCTGCTGCTGCTGCTGATGCTGCTGCTGCTACTCTTGCTACTGCTACTCTTGCTGCTGCTACTGTTGCTGCTGCTGCTGCTGCTGCTGCAGCAGCAGCAGCAAAGTAGGAGAGCTCAGCAGAGCCTGCGTCGCCTGCGAGGGCGGGGGGAGTGTGGCGTGTCGTTGCTGCTGTTGCTGCTGCTGCTGCTGCTGTTGTTGCTGCTGTTGCTGCTACTGTTGCTGCTACTACTCTTCCGCTGCTGCTACTGATGCTACTGCTACTCTTGCTGCTGCTGCTGCTGCTGCTGCAGCAGCAGCAGCAGCAGCAGCAGCAGCANGCAGCAGCAGCAGCAGCAGCAGCAGCAGCAAGGTATGAGAGCTCAGCGTATCCTGCGTCGCCTGCGAGGGCGGGGGAAGGGTGGTGTGCCGTAGCTGCTGCTGCTGCTGTTGCTGCTGTTGCTGCTGCTGGTGCTGTTGCGTGTGGTGCTGTTTCTGGTGGTTGTTGTCTTTGTACGCATGCTGCTGTTGCTGCTGTGTCTGCTGCTGCTGCTGCTGCTGCTGCTGTTGATATTCCTTTGTATGTTTCTGCTGCTGATGAGCTGCGTTAGGTGTTGTATTGTATTGAACGCAGTTTGTGTTGCTAGTGTTGCTGCTGCTGCTGTGTCGTTTGCTGCTGCAGCAGCAGCACGTGTTTGCTGCTGCAGCAGCGTAGTTGCTGCTTCTCCTGCTGCAATAGATGCACGTGCTGCTGCTTCTGCTGCTGCTGCTGCTGCTGCTGCTGCTGTTACTACCTCCAGTGCTGCTTCTAATTGCCAATGTCTTGCTGCTGCTGCTCCTGCATCTGCTGCTGCAGTTGCTGCTTCTGCTGCTGCTTTTGCTGCTGCTGCTGCACCTCTTGTTGCAGCAGCAGCAGTAGCAGCAGCAGCAGCAGAATCAGCAGGATCAGCAGCAGATGATAGATTCATGAGTGCATTACCTGTATCGACAAGTGCTGCTGCTGCTGCTGTTGCTGCTGCTTCTAGCCTCTCCTCTATCTCTATTTCTGCTGCTTGTCTCCTCCTTCTTCTTGTATATCTAAGCATGCGTTGCTGCTGCTGCTGCCGCTGCTGCTGCTGCAGCTGCTGCAGCAGATCCTGCTGCTGCTGATAGTATTGTTCTCCCCCCCCATAGTACTGGTTATGGTGTCGCACCAGCTGCACCAGTTGCTGCTGCTGCTGCTGCTGCTGCTGCTGCTGCTGGTATCGTTGCTCTCTCCTTTCCTCTCGATGCTGCCGCTGCTGCTGCTGCTGCTGCTGCTGCTGCTGCACTCTCTGAAAGTATTGTTGCTGCTGCTGCTGCATTCCCTCAAAGTTTTGCTGCTGCTGCTGCTGCAGCAGCATGTACAGCTGCTGCAGCTCACGCAGCCGCAGGTTTCTATCCAGCTGCGGGGGGCCCCGCCTTAGCCTCCATGGCTGCTGCTGCAGCAGCTGCGGCTGCTGCTGCTCCTGCTGCTGCTGCTGCTCCTGCTGCTGCTGTTCCTCCTGCTGCTGCTGTTCCTCCTGCTGCTGCTGCTGCTCTCCATCTTGCTGCTGCTGCTGTCCCTGTTGCTGCCGCTGCTGCGGTTGGTGCAGCAGCTGCTGCTGCTGCTGCGGTTGGTGCTGCTGCTGTTGCTGGCGCTGCTGTCGGCGTTGCTGCTGCTGCTGCTGCTGCTGCTGTCGGCGTTGCTGCTGCTGCTGCTGCTGCTGCTGGTCGTCCTGCTGCTGCTGCTCCTGCTGCTGTTGTTGCTGCTGCTGGCGCTGCTGCTGTTGCCGCTGCTGCTGTTGCTGCTGCTGCTGCCGCTGCTGCTGCATATACGGGTGGTGCTGCTGCAGCTCCTGCATTTGCTGCAGCAGCCGCAGCATTTGTTGATGGTCTATCTCATGATCTGGTAGCTGCTGCTGCTGCTGCTGCTGCTGCTGCTGCCTCCGCCGCTGCTGCTGCTGCTCCCGCTCCAGCTGCTGCTGCAGCAGCTCGTCGCGCTGCAGCAGCAGCAGCATCTGCAGCCAGTAGTTTTGTTCTTCTGTTACCTGTACTGGGTCTTCTGCGTCGGGGTTAATGAGTTGCTGCTGCTGCTGCTGCTGCTGCTGCTGCTGCTGGTCGTCCTGCTGCTGCTGCTCTTGCTGCTGCTGCTGCTGCTGTCGCCGCCGCATATAGTGCTGCCGCCGACGCCAGCGTTGCTGCTGCTGCTGCCGTTCAGCGTGCTCCTGCTGCAGCTGCTGTTGCTGCTGCTGCTGCTGCTGGTATTGCTGCTGCTGCCGCGGTTGTTGCTGCTGCTGCAGCGGCTGTTGCTGCTGCTGCTGCTGCTGCTGCTGCTGCTGCATGTTGCTCGACCTTCTACCTCTTCTTCTTTGTTGTCCTCCGTTGTTTGGTCTCTGCTGCTGTTGCTGCTGCTCTTGCTGCTGCAGCAGTTGTTGCTGCTGCTGCTGCTGCAGCAGTTGTTGCTGCTGCAGGAATTGTTGCTGCTGCAGGAATTGTTGCTGCTGCTGCTGCTGGCGTCGGTGCTGCATCTGTTGCTGCCTCACTTGTGGTTGCTGCTGTCTTTGTTGCTGCTGCTGCTGCTGCCTTTGGGGCTGCTGCTGCTGCTGCGTATGATACGGCACCTGCTGCTGCTGCTGCTGCTGCTGCTGCTGCTGCTGCTGCCTATAATTCGACATCAGTTGCTGCTGCTGCTGCACCCGCTGCTGCCTGTGGAACTGCCTTTGCTGCTGCATTAGTTGCTGCAGCTGCAGGTGCTGCTGCCTCAGCCTGTACATTTGCTGCTGCTGCTGCTGCTGCCTTTGATAATGCGTTTGCTGCGGCTGCTGCTGCTGCTGCTGCTGCTGCTGCTGCTGCTGCTGCTGGCGTCGTTGTTCCATCCTTTGCTGCTGTTGCGGCCACATTCTTCTTCTTCTGCTTCTGCTGCTGCTGCTGCTGCTGCTGCTGCTGCTGCTGCTGTGTTCAGGGCGGAGCTGCTGCTTACGTGGGTTTGTCTTTAACTGCAGCAGAAATAGCTGCTTCTTTATCTCGTTGGGAGTTTGCTGCTGCTGAGTGTGAAGCTGTGCTGCAGCGGCTGCAGCAGCAAAAGAAAAAACAGCAGCAGCAGCAGCAGCAGCAGGGGGATGATGATGGATACGGAACCACAACAACAGCAGCAGCAGCATCTGCATCTGCTGCTGCTGCTGCTGCTGCTGCAGCAGCAGCAGCAGAGCTTCGTGCTTCTATAACTCTAACTGAAGCACTGTCACATATAAATATAAACAAAGCTGCGGTGTATATGCAGCTACTAAATAAAAAAACAGCAGCAGCAATTGACTTAATAGATAGTGATGATATAGAGGGCCGTCCTTTACCTGTTGTTTCTTCTGGGGGGAGAAAAAAAAAACTAGCTGCTGCTGCTGCTGCTCCTGCTGCTGCTGCTGCTGCTGCTGCTGCTGCTGCTGGAGGAGAAGGAGCTGCTGCTGCTGCTGCTGCTGCTGCAACAAAAAAAAAAAGAAAAAAAAAAAATATTAATATAGACAAACGAAACCCACCCGACCCGGAGAGATGGCTCCCTAAACACGAAAGGTAAATTAAATAAAAAAAATAAAAATAAAAAATAAAATAAATAAAAAAAATAAATAAAAATAAAATAAATAAATAAATAAATAAATAAATAAATAAATATGTAAATGGAGAGAGATAGGGAGAGGTTTAGTCTTACTTTATTTTGGTTTGTTGTCTTTCTTTTTTTTCTTTTTTTTCTTTTCTCCTTTTTTCTTCTTCTTTCTCTTTTTCTTTTTCTTTTTTCTTTTTCTTCTTTTTCTTTTCTTCTTTTTCTTTTTCTTTTTCCCTTTTTCTTTTTCTTTTTCTCTTTTTCTTTTTCTCTTTCTCTTTTTCTTTTTCTCTTTTTCTTTTTCTTCTTCCCTCTCTCTTTCTCCTTTTTCTCCTTTTTCTTTTCCTTTTTTTTTCTTTTTTTTCCTCCTCTTTTTCTTTTTTTTCTTTTTTCTTTTTTTTGCTTTCTTTTTCTTTGTCTTCTCCTTCCTTTTCTTCTTTTTTCTTTTGGCTGTTCTGCCTTTGTTTTATTTTTTCTTTTTTTCTTTTTCGGCTGTTTGTGCTGCTGCTGCTGCGTCACTAGCGCTACTGGTGCTGCTACTGAGTTCTCTTGCTGCTGCTGCTGCGACTGCTGCTGCTGCTGCTGGTGCTGCTGCTGCAGTTTCTACTATTGCTGCTACTTGTATTGTGTTGTATACTAGTATATATCTAGATACGTTGCTGGTATCTCTCTGTTTTTGCTGTTTTTCTTTTTTTTATTTTCTCTGTCTCGTTGAGTCGGCTGCACTGCAGCAGATGTAAGAGTATATAAAAAAGATAAATAAAGAAATAA